GTGCGCGCCCGTGTAGCGGGGCGGCCCCATGGGCGGCGGCGCCGGCTCCTGCCTCTGCCCCCCGTCTCTGGAAGCCTGGGCAGCAAACGCTCCTCATGTCTCCCAGATAAAAATAAAAGCGACTCCCTCCTCCCGGCCGCAGAGTGTCCCCGCGCCCGGCCCGACGCGGGGCTGAGCCGGCCCCGCCGCCCGGCAGCGCCTCGCCCCGCCGCCCAGAGCGCCGGGCCGCGCCGCCGCCCATGGACATCGCGACGGGTCCCGAGTCCTTGGAGAGGTGTTTCCCGCGGGGCCCGCCGGACTGCGCCAAGATGCTGGACGGTATTAAAATGGAAGACCACCCCCTGCGTTCGGGGCCGGCCACGCTGGGAGTGCTGCTGGGTGAGTTGCCGGTCGCTTCTCGGCTACGCCGAAAGCGGCCCCCGCGCTCCGCTCGGTACCCGGGGCTACGGTCCGAGGTGCCTGGGCTGATGCGGGCTGTAGCCGCTCAGCCTCGGACTGGCGCTGGGCGCGGGACTGTCTCGCCGCGTGTGCGGGACGCGGTGCCGGCGGCAGCCGTCGAGCTCGGTCTCGCCGCGCGGCTGGGCCGAGCGGGCTGGGCTGCCCGGGACCGGGGCTGGGGAGTGGGGCCGGGCTGTGTCGGGGCCAGAGCCGGCGCCTGACGCCGCCGTCTGCCGTTGCAGGGTCGGAGTGCCAGCACCAGGCCGTCTGCGAGGGCTGCCAGCGGCCCATCTCGGACCGGTTCCTGATGCGGGTGAACGAGTCCTCCTGGCACGAGGAGTGCCTACAGTGCGCCGCTTGCCAGCAGGCGCTCACCACCAGCTGCTACTTCCGGGACCGCAAGCTCTACTGCAAGCAGGACTACCAACAGTAAGGGCGCGGGGGGTGACGGGGGTCCCGCCGGGGCAGCCCTGCCCGGCCCGGGGTGCGCTGCGGGCTGCGAGCGTGTTCCCGATCGGGCCGAGCCCGGCGGAGCGGAGCCCACGGCTACGGGGTGGCGGCTCCGGCGAGCGGGGACCCCGGCGCAGGCGGCGTAGCGGGCACGGACGGGACCGGGGACGCCAAGCCGCGGCGTCCGACCCGGGAAGGGCGCTGCCCCCGGGCCCGCCGCGGTCTGGGACCCTGCGGCGCCGTCGGAGGGGACGGCGGTGGGGCGGCCCGGCCCGGGCTGCGCAGGCAGCGCCGCGCCCGGAGCCGCCCCGCGGATCCCTCCTGCCCGAGGCGAGCCCCGTCCCGCCGCCGCCCCAGCACCGCCCGGCCTGCGGAGCGCCCGCTGGCACTGCCCGACGGCGGGGCTGGGGGCTCGGCGGGGCCGTCGGTGCTCTGCCGCGGGCCGGCCCGGCGGAGCGGCCGTCGGGCGCGGAGGGAGCGCGGCGGGGCCCGGCCGAGAGACCGGAGCAGCAGCGGGAAGAGCCCGGAGCTGAGCTCGGCGCTGGCCCCGGCGCTGCCCCGCTCTCTCTGTTATTCCGGCTTTATCCCCAAATGTCAGGCGCTGTCGGGAGCGGCCCCCGCCGCGCCGCGGCCCCGCGCGGGGACAGAGCCCGGCCCAGCGCCGGGCCGCCCTCCCCAGCAGAAGCCCACTTCATGCTTGTCACCGAAATTGAGGATCCTTTTTGTGCCGAGAGGGGGGCGAACATGGGCACTTCAATCACTAGGACATAATATGGCTCTGCTAGAAGTCTGGCAACAAACAAAGAACAACAACTATTGGTTTGCATCAACTTTTGTCAGGCATTCAGCAGGCTTCCAGAAAGGCCTGAAGTGGCTTAGTGGCAACAATGTGCATTTCATAGCTACAGCATGAAAATCCATCTCCATGGAAACGGGTAGTAAATGCTAACATGACATGCTGAGTATAAATATTGTGAGGGTTATAACTCTTGTATAAATGGCCCAGATAAATGTCCCCCTGTTTAGGAATTACAACAAAACACGTTATTTCGTGCCACAGCCCTCACCAACTCCCAGAGATTCCTTCATGGCCCGAGCACTGCACATGGAATAACCTAGAGCTTGCCCGTGGGCCGCTGCCATCTCACCCTCGCGGGGCAGGGAGCACATCCATGGGATTTGCCTTTTACTGCTACACAAAATAAACCACCCTGTGGTAGCTGTAGTTGTAGATCAGTGAAACTTCTGCCTCTGTGGGTAGTAACACCTTAGATATTTTTGTTGATTAGGGAAGAATTTAGAACAGTCTTCAGGCTACCTAAGAAAGTGTTATTTGGCAATGTAAATATTTACATTATTTCCAAAGAAATGTACCCTCCCAAGTCCCATCATTAGTTTCTGTAAAATAAAGAGTCGGGTCGTACTTAGCAACCTAAAAAGCAAGATCAGAGACTATTGCTTTGTAAAAACAAAAATACTTTCCTGACTGAAAATAGAAATGTTACTGCTTCAGAACTTCCCATATTATCAAAGGTGTCCAATTGTAGAGGGGGGGAAACAGAGTAACCAGGCTGCTGAACAATAAAAAGATATCAACATGTTGGCCTTTGTTGAATCCCAGCACCTAGTGTGACATGACATGGTGCCCTGCTGTGTGTGCCCCCGAGGACTGACAGCGGCAGCGGCTCACGGGAAGGGAAGGGGAGGGGAGACACGGTAAATCAGAATTTGTTTTCTCTGGGATTTTATTAGCCCAAAAGAGCAAACATGTGAAACTATGCTGACATAGATTGTGCACCCTTTCAAACTTGGAGAAATATTCGTTTATGGTAGCTAAAGATAAAAATAGCTGTCCATCCGTGCGAGTGGCTCTGGGCTGTGCGGTGCAGAGGGTCGGTTTTGTCTGTCAGACTGGGGGGGTGAAGCCATGAGCGAGCTGTGCAGGGCGACTCCAGCGAGGGGGCACAGCCACAGTCCTGCGCTGGAACACCGGGATGGGAAATGCCTCTGTGCTCAGTGATCATGCCTTGGGGTAGTGAGATGGAATGGGATCGGTACGGAGGAAGACAGGGATCAGTAATATCAGATACTTTTTGTTATCCTGAGTCTTATTTACAGATCTCTGGGGAAAAAAGAAAAAAAAAGAAAAAAGAAGAAGGAGAATAAAGTTTACTTAAATATCTCAGTTCCTGAAATTTGCTTTAAATAGATTTTTCTGTACGTAATAATGCAATTTTAAAGGTCAGATTTCTCCAGAACTCCCAGGACTATAATCAAGCACTGTGTGTATATCTTTGGGAAACTGGTGTCTCATCTTTCTAATGAAAGCAAGCTTCTGATGGGTCAGATATCAGACCTTACACCTTTCCCTGGGTCAGGAATGATTGCTCCCCATCCTTGGATGAGGGCATTTCACATTAGGGGGAAGGGTGAAAACAGTTTTTCTTTTTTCCTTTTTTTTTTTTTTTAAATAAAAATGTTAACTGTGTGAAGCTACTCTGGAATGTTAGAATAAATCCTGGGGGAGGTGGACTAGTGGCCCAAGCCCAGTTTGAAGTATTCAGAGGTACCTGATAAATGTAATTTATCACAAAAATATCGTTAGTATGTCAGTGGAACCAGTGGGACAAGCTGGGCACGTATTTTGGTCTCTTTTAAAAGAAGGAATTCAACACATTTAAGTACTTATTTTGCTAAAATTTAGAATTTCGAGGGTCAGGTGCATTTGATGACAAGGTTTTTAAGGGAAAAAGTCCAGAGCAGTACAATGGCACCAGGGAGGCTGGCTCTCACAAGCTCAAGTCAATCAGAATCTCTTTGATTTTAATTAGAGCTTTACCAAATTGCTGCACATTTGGAACCTTACACTTAATGCTGGTGTGGGTTTTTTTAAGAATTTTTTTTTTCAGACAAACTAAAACCTTCAGAATGCTTGTTTTTCAAAAATAGAAGGCTTGCAGTAGTTGTATTTTGGCACTTTGCTTAAATTAATTTATGTATTGTACCATTCATAACAGTGCTTCCTTCTAAAAATCATTAGTATTTATAAATACTACAATTTTTCCCATTTGTATATTTCCATTTTTTTGTGATTGTGCTTTTCTGGTTTGTTTTTCTTTCAACTGCTCAGTCTTACATAACAATTTGTCCTAGTTATGGCTGATAGTGAAAAAGGATATGTTATGAAAAATAACTGTTTCTGGTTACATATTTCATATGTAAGCAGTGCACATAATTTATAGAAATATCTGTATTCCTATTCTAGCTTTGGAAGTAGAGGCTGTAAAAGAGGTTTTTATTGAAGGGACCGAATAGCAAATGCTCAGAGTAGCTATTTCGTAAGTTTTCATTAATGCATTCTAAGTTTTGCTTAGGGTGGGAAAGATAACATTCAGGTTTTTGTTCTTTTAAATGTTGTCAAGCATTGTTTTAGCATCATGTTTGGATGCTATTACAAAAGATCCACCATGTATTTCTGGTATGTTTTTGTACTGTTCTTCTTTGAGTTCTTTCTTGTCGGTGGCTGGGCTTGTTTTTGCTGTGCAGTCAGCACAGAGCAGCACGTCCCCCGCAGGAAGGAAAGAAAACCCCACGAAGCCTCGGTGCTGTGGGGAAATCTTCCCCTCTTCGGATTTTGGGAATGCTTTCACACGAGCATAACTCTGAGGCTGATGTTTCCCAGTTGAGTTGTGTTTTATATTCAAAATGCAACAAAAGCTTCCCGTCAGTGAGTGTCTCGGTTTCGTGGCTGTTATTTTTCTCGCAGAGCGCGGGCTGTGGAATGTGGCAGGAGCCCGGTGCAGGAGGAACCGGAGCTCCCGGATTCGGCCGCATTCTGCTACCCGGATTCAATTGCAATCTGCTAACGACAGGATTTGATTCGTTTTCAGTTTTCCTGTTTTATTTTTAACGAGGCAGCACCGTGAGCTCGGCAGAATAATGCGGAGCGGGGGGTCCCTCCAGCTGCCCTCGCCTTGTGCCGAACGGGCACTGATCCCTGCGCGTGGGTCACTGGGAGGCAGCACAGAAACCGGGGGAAACTTAGAGACAGGAGTAGCCCTGGACATGGAGTAATGATTAAAGTTATGTCTTCCACTAAAAATGCTTTTAAAAGTCGCTGAAATACTCTGGCATTTTTGCTGAAAATGCCACCAGTCCTCCACCATCAGTCACATCAGCCCCATCAAAAATCCTCTGTACGATCTGGCTTTCGTGGTACCTCGAAATAGTCCCCAAAGCGGGAGTGTTGAGGAAATGTGGCTGTTATTTCAGCCGGTGACGTCAGCAGAGTGGCCGTGCTGGGGCTGAGCCCCCGCGGGTCCCCCGTGTCGGCGGCTCCGTCCCCGCGGGTGGGGATGGCACGGGCCCCCGCGGCACCTCGGCAGCGCCGGGCACCGGCCACCCGCCGGCTCGGGCTGGGCTGCCTGAGTGCTGGCAGGGATCTGGGACGGGGGTGTTTTGAGAATTTGGGGAGACATTTTGGTTTTCTGCTGCAATCGCGGTAACGCTGAACAAAATAATGGCAATGAAAAGATGCTATTTGCACTGATCCGTGGCAGAAAACCAAAGGGAGGATTTTTGTGCAATGTAGGCAATATGCAATTAAATTAGCAGGAGTGTAGTTTATAATGCTTTACTACTAACCTGAGAAAAAATAACCTATAGATATGAAATATCCTGCAAAAATTTCTTCACTGAGTATTATAATAAACAGGAATATTTTGCATTCTGTTTAGAAGTCAGATCTGTTATTTTTTGGCCTAAACTTTTGAAGTTCAAAGGCATACGTCACCTTTCCAACTGTCAATAATATATCATGATAAATCAGCTGGATTATAATGTCTCTTCTTAGATTAATTATGTTAGTAGTGTATTTCAATGGTAAACATACACTCCTCTCGCTTTTCTCTGTTGTGGAGCAGCCTGTAAAGCCTGGAACGTCCTAAAGTGCTCACCGCTCTGGTGAACCTGAAAGTGGG